GAGGTGTAATGGACATACTTAGAGCCTTATAGTAGGTATGGAGTATATCTGTTATGTACGGTCAGTTTTGGATACAGGGTTTATCCCTCGGCAAATATGTGTATCCCCTTCGGTCCCTCGGGAGATAAGCATAATTCCTTTGGGATAAACCCTGTATCCAAAACCTCCTAGGACATAACCCTTATGGATATAATAGATAATGTAAATCGAGTTGCATATGATAATTTTCTGCATTTCCCTTAAATCTTTTAAGTCCATCTATAATTTGATATATCGATTATGGTCATATTCAACCTTCATAGTTCGTAAATTATCATAATGAAACTTCCATTCATTCTAAAATAAGTATTGCAACTTACCTTTACTGAATACATACGATAATGCATTCACTATTATCAGGACAGTTTGTGGTAATTCCATTTTAATTGACTTAATATGCTGTCTTTTTCCTGACTACGACTCCGTTGGCCTAATTAAATATCATGCTACCTTACACAAGCTAGATTCCATTTGACCAGAGAAAAGGTAATATTGCATGTCATAATATAAAAACTGAATATTCAATAATTGATTGTGTTTTTCTGTCAATGTCTAAGACCGTTTTATTGATATGAATATAAAATAAGATAAACTCCTTCGAACTAAAATCCCTTATTGAAAACTGTTCTTTGGTGTACTTTGGTATTCCATTTTGAATTTTATACAAATTATAAATATATATATTTCTATGCTTACTGTAATTTTGTACCTATGTTTTATCAATATGGGAATTATCAAACTAATTAAGTCTTAAACACAAACCGCCGAACGATGACGCTGAACGCTGAATAGTGACACATCAAAAAGTGAAAGGAAACAAAAGGAAAGGAAAATGCCAAAACAGCCTACGGAAACAGCCATGTGTTAATTTCATATCGATGGAATATATGTTAAAACAAACTCAAGTTGACCTATATTTAAAATTAATAATCTCGTAAGTGGCTTATCGAATCATTGATCAATCACTCATTCCATTTTAATCCTACATCGGATCTTTATGTCATTTTCCTTCACTGGGGCCTACACCAACCTTTTGAAAACCATTTATTAACAGATGCATCAAGGGGTAGACATTATTCAAAAGACAAGCATGGCTAGGTCGGGATGAGGTGGGGGAGGAGGTGGGGGAGGAGGCTGGGGAGGGTTTACACACAATCAGAGACATATAACATGTTTCTACATGCAAGTTCATTTTCACTTGTACACATACATGTATGATTAATAAGTCGATCCCATGGGATTTGTAATTGAGTTTTAATCGAAAGGGAAAAGGTCCAATCTAAAATAGTGAATGTTTTGCATCCATTGAAGCAATAAGAATATGGTAATACCACTGTAAAGCTATACTGTGAATCTTTGATATGAAATTCGATTGTCGGGAATAAGAAATACATCCATACCATCTCTTTTTCTATAAACATCGGCGATGCATCGCTATAATTTTAACAGGGATACGCTAAAAGGTGATAAGTATCTTAAGGGTAACAGGTGTGAGTCCCTCACTGTGTCATCACATAAGCAGGTATCTCAGTATCAACAGCATTTCGCCCCTTAACCTGTATGCTTCCACTGAGTGGGGCAGTAATGACTGATCTCAATCATCACTCTCTGAAGGACACCACCTGTCTTTCCTCTTCAGCCAAATCCACCTTGAGCTGGACTCTGCTACCATACCAACTGCTTTGATTGCTGAAGCTGAAAAACCTCTAAAGTACAGAGAACAGTACTTTAAAAAACAATGCCAAAATGTCACCAAATGTTATCTTCCGCCTCGAAATAAAAAGAATATCCTCCAAGGAAACAAAAAGTCAAGCCCCCCGCCCCCGGGTATGGGCCAGTTAGTAACAAGACCCCCCCCCCTCCCACATACCACTCCTTAATCCCAGACCTGCCCTGATAGACCAACAATATCATATTTAAAAACATAGAAGTTCTGCAAAATAAGCAGAACTACTTCTTATTTATCTTTATTAATCATGTATGTCAAAATAACAAATGTTGATGCTCATTGTTACTCAAGCATGACCTTGTCAGAAACAAGAAGTGATTTTGGCATTTGTTGTAGTAAGAAAGATACACTTTTAATTTAGCTAGATTATTTTTTACTTGCATTCAAATTACTCATTAGCTGTCACATACAGTGTTGTATCTCAAACTTTATATTCAATTGAAATTTCAGTGTTTACAATACCGAATATGCCACCTTGGAAAAGAGATAAAATGAATTAAAGATAAATGATACTCATTAATGCCACCTCTATGGATTTTAGGGGCACGATTGATTTCTACACCCAGGAAGGTTGTCTGGTCATATATGGAAAGTTCCACGATTTGTTCCGGTTTCGGCGCTTAAAGCCCTTTTTATGTCACTATTTATCTCGCTACAAACAACTTTTTGTTATTCCGGTCTTTTACACTGTACCATTCAGATTCAGAGCTTAGAGCGCCAAGCACCACACCTGTATTAAATGGCCCTTTTTTAGAAAGTGAATTTATATTGTGAATATTGGTGTATTTGAATTGATCGGTTGATTGTTTGATCGTTTGATTTAACTAATGCCATTAGTCCATGGATTCGCATTGAGCTGTAAATCAAACAAATTAACATTCTATTTAAGTTCATTTTAAGTCCATGTGACGAATCATGGTTTAGACAAAGCCAGCAGAACTGAATTTACCGCGACCTTGATTCCCGAACAGTTGAATAACAGATTGGATAGAAATGTTTAAAAATGTCTCAATCTTATATTGCCTCTATTAATTTGAGTGCTTTCATACCAAGATTTGTTGATTTCAGAATTTTACGGTTTTACGTCTTGGCATTATTTTTTTAACTATTTGATTAACCATAGCCAGATTTAATTGTGAATTTAGGATATATATGAAAATGTATGTTAAAATGGTGATGGGTTATTTTACGATCGCGAGCATATTTGTTTAACAAATCGTTGCATGTATATTACATTATATTATTATATTCTCTTCGATCTAAGCATTTTTATTTTCCACTAAAATATGATATGATTTTAAATGGACAAATGCGGCTTGGTAACAAAAGACAAAGCGGCAATTATATCGTCGCTGCTCCAGTTATTCGGCCGATTTCCCGGTTAAAACCGATTACAACACCACATATCCACGCCTAACCAACGACAACGTACAATGACGCCGTCGTACACTTTAGATGTACACGTACGGTGTCACTTTTAACCGATTTAAAGCAAAGACATTGGTGTATATTTGATGTAGGTTTTTAAAAAATTATCCGAGCAATGCATTAAGGATTTCAAGTTTGATTTCGTGGGTATTCGTTTGAGAAGACATTTAACTTTCAAGTAACGTTAAAAGATTTTCACACAGTGCTCGATTTTTTCGTGGTTGATCTTCCCATATAATTGGTCAGTTGAAAAATGTTGTTTTTTACTTTCCTTTGATCATTTCCTTTGAATATTTTTATGAGTATATGTTTCTCTAAACTACACAATTTAGGACGGGTGGAGATTAATAACTATTGTAATTTTAAAAAATCAGATATGTGCGTTGTCAACTCGATTGTATGTTGTCCCTGTAATTGAAAATCATGAGATATAAATTTAAATATTAAACAATGTAATGATTTTATTTCAATATTCATTAAGGTTTTTAAGAGTAACAAGTGCTCTTTAACGAACATGTTCAAGTACCTTTGTATCGATGATTTCAAAGATAAGGTAAATGTGATTTTTTGCTCTTTCATTTAAAGAACGTATTGTTGTGGTGGTGGTGGTCAATTCGTGCCCATTGGGTGTTAGCTTCCACCCCAAACCCCCATTAAGTGTCTCGGAATAGAATATGTTGAAGACTAGCACTGCCACGGAGTCTGCTTCCAGCCTGTTTGATTATTTGGCGTCTGTACCTTACGTTTTGTTAGTTACGTTGATAGATAGATCTACTGATCTATACTAGCTAATTGAATATGACTTTTTAAAATCCCGTTTATGATATATCTGGAAAGTTTCATCAATAATTAAGTTAGCTCAATAGTTTCAATAATTCAATCAAATTGAAGTAATTTTGCAATTGTTCTGTTTCAATTTTAAATGCATCTGACCCCCCTGTCTGTTAGTGTTATGAAAAATACGTCGCCTGCATTAGGGTTAACTGTGAATTGAGTAAGTTCAATGGGACAACGTACATCCGAGTTGACAACGTAGACTTGTGTTTTTTTAAATTATAGCCAAGACGTTAATACTTGTTAAATATTCATATAAAAATATTCGACACTCTTAGACGAGAGGGGAGGAAATGATCAATGGAAATGTGTAAAAAACAACATTTTCCAACCGACCAATTATATGGGTAGATTGACTACAAAAAAATTGACTATGTTGGAAAATATTTTAACGTTATTAGAAAGTTAAATGTCTTCCAAAACGAATACACACAAAATCAAACATGAAATCCTTAATGTATTCCTCGGATTATTTTTTTAAAACCTACATCAAACCTACATCGTTGTCTTCGGTTCAATTCGGTTAGTGACACAGTACATGAAAAATGTACGACGGTATATTTTGTCACTGTACATATTCGATGGTTAGGCGTGATATGGTAATAGTCATGTAATAGGCCTATGAAAACTTCGTATTTCGTCTATTTTACCAAAGTGTAAAACAATTCACTTACAAGCAATGTTATATGTTTGAAGATGTTTTTGGTATCATTATCTTTGTGACAATTTATAATACGAAATCATACGAAATATATTAGTCACAAAACACTGGAAAACTTACTTTTCAACAAGATTATATATAATTTGTTCTATTTAATTTATCAATACAAAAAGATTTACAAACCAAATTGTATAAAAGCTACTACATTGAATGTGTTTCTACATAATAGTGCAAGCCTTCTCAATTATAACACATCATGTGAATTCACAAGAAAACAATATATCAGGTGCCTAAAAAGAGCAATTCACTTTTTTGTGACACCCATTATGTATATATGTTGTACATGTACAATGGTTATGTACTTGACCTGATCCATTTGTACAAATATCTAATATTGATCTCTAATTAATTGTATAGCCCTTGATGCTTTTCTATATGAAGCTCATAATTAAATCTTTACTTTAAATACAGTTATCTCATAAAATAAAAATAACATACAACATGGCACCCAGACACCATTTTAAGTGTATACATCATGAAAAACATATAATCAAAGCCAAAGCTTTCAAAAATTCCAATGAAATTCCTAACTTCATAGTTTACAGTATCAAATAGCAGATAGTTGAATATATAATTTGACAACTGTCTGTAAAGTGTTCATATTGCATGCACTGTATTAAGAGGTGTTCAAATTATGAAGTGTTTAGATGTATAAGCTTTAGCTTAATCATGGGCTTTATTGTAGCTTGATCATGGACTTTCAAGAGCAAATATTTCTTTGTAATATAGCCAAGTTTATCCAGGTATGGAAAGTTCTTCACTAAATTGCAACTAATAAGCGAATCTTGTCTTGGGGGCATAGCCAAGTTTGTCGAGGTTTGGCATGCAGGCAAAGTTTATCATGGGTGGGGGCCCACACATCACAATGAGAGTGTCAGCACCAGGGGGTGGAAGGTGCTCCTGGATCATCTCTGCACTTATGAAGCCACTGCTGTACTTCCAGTCTGAAAATTATATATATTATATACATGTACTATAACTTACAGGCCCATAGCCAGGATTTGCCAAGGGGGGTTCAGTTTTCAAAAATTTCCAGGGGAGATTTTCAAAACACAGTACTTTGCCGATAAAACATTACTTTCGTGGACTCGCGTGGACTCTAACTGTTTCCATGCCAAGTTGTTAAAACACGTTACTTGGCCAATTTATTCCTTCAAGTGTCGAACATTTTAGCCTGGCATTTTTAAAAAGCGTAACTTTGGCCGATTTCCGTAACTATCTTGTACTCTTAAGTTTTCCTCCATCGAGCGTTGGTAAATTTTAGGTAGGCATTTTCAAAACACAGTACTTTGCCGATAAAACGTTACTTTCGTGGACTCGCGTGGACTCTAACTGTTTCCATGCCAAGCTGTTAAAACACGGTACTTGGCCAATTTATTCCTTCAAGTGTCGAACATTTTAGCCTGGCATTTTTAAAAAGCGTAACTTTGGCCGATTTCCGTAACTTTCTTGTACTCTTAAGTTTTCCTCCATCGAGCGTTGGTAAATTTTAGGTAGGCATTTTCAAAAAGCGTTACTTTGGCCCTTTTCCGTTACTTTCTTGGACTTAAACTTTTTTCGATGTGTAACTTGAAAATCTTGTCAGTGAGTGGTATTACTAATTATTGTAAAAGATAAGATGGACCATAGTGTAAAGAGAGGCTAGTAGTGTTTTTCCATCTATTAATTCACAACGAATCAAATGACCATATTTAATCAGTTTATGGAAAAATAGAAACTTTTGTACAATGCCTAACTTTTGTTTTGGTTTGTTTCGTAGTTCGATGATCTTCCATGTTATTTTCGAAATAAAAACATGGATGAAACTCCCTAAATAGGTACAGCTTTACTGCACGTTATACCTAACTATCTGTAATATACAATAGTTACGTCTTGTACGTATGTTTATATTTTTTTCATTTTCTGTTGCAATACATTTATGTTGGTTGCTTATTTAACGTTCAATGTACTCAATTAGGCGGTTAAAAGACCAAAGTGGATCCTTTTTCATGAATGTACGTTAATTTATAGATTAGTTTAGCCGATAACAGTGTTGAATTACTTCAGAGTTGCAATTTTAGCGATTCATACGATAAAAGATCGATTCATCCCAAACACCCACTTTACCGGAAGACGCTCTCTGACGTCCGCGCCATTTAGGTCACTTATAACATGGCATTATTTTTCACTTCCCTTTATTAGTACGTTTGAATGCAACCATCTTAGACATTGATGCAACAATTTTGACCCTCTTTCCAAAACAAATATTCTTCTTTTCTTCATCCTAGGTCTGATGGTGTATCTTGTTTATTCGATCTTGTTGTGCCAAGTCATGTTGTATGATACTGAGCGACATCTTTTTAAAACACAGTTTTCAATCCGACTATAAGTATGAGTAATTCATAAAGATGTCGTTCGCTTCAACTACATCTCATAAATGTCGAACTAAATCACTAGTTTTCAAGTCTTTCAAGAATTATATACACATTGTATTATTAAAAACACGAGCTAACAAACAATACAATCGTTTGCATCAGAATATCAATGTATTTTTCCATTTAATATTGCACTGTGGTCTTTTGACTGCTTTTTATCGACTGACGGAGACAAAACTGAAGTTCGTCAAAATGCGATTCAAAATCATCTATTGAGTACTTTGAATTTAAAAAATAAGCAATCAAATGACCATATTGCAACTATATTTGGAGAAATAGAAACCTATGTACAAGGCCTAACTTTAGTATTTCAGATAGTTACAGCAAACGTGTGGCATTCAGTAATTTATTGAGTTTCATCCATGTTAATTTTGAGTGTCGAAAATGTCATGGCAGAGAAGCATCGAAATATAAGAGGCCACACATATGATAGCTAACTACAAAACAAACCAAAATATACAAAAGTTAGGCCTCGTACAATTGTTTCTACTTTTACAAAATACTGTTCAATATCGTCCTTTGATTCCTTATTTTTTACATTCAAAATACTCAATCGGGCAAAAAAGTTAGAGTCCAAGAAAGTAACGGAAAAGGGCCAAAGTAACGCTTTTTGAAAATGCCTACCAAAATTTCACCAACGCTCGATGGAGGAAAACTAAGAGTACAAGAAAGTTACGGAAATCGGCCAAAGTAACGCTTTTTAAAAACACCAGGCTAAAATGTTCGACACTTGAAGGAATAAAGTTAAAAGTAACGTTTTACTGGCAAAGTACTGTGTTTTTAGAATGCCTACATAAAAAATCACCCATTATTCGAGGAGAAAAGTTAAAGTCCACGAAAGTAACGTTTTATCGGCAAAGTACTGTGTTTTGAAAGTGCGTGCATAAAAATCATCCATTCTTCGTGGAGATCAGTTAAAGTACAATAAAGAAACGTTTTAAGGCAAAGTAACGTGTTTTGAAAATACCTGCATAAAAAATTATCCATTCTTCGTGGAGATCAGTTAAAGTCCAATAAAAGAACGTTTTTAAGGCAAAGTAACGTGTTTTAAGAAGGCCCTACATAAAAAACCATCCATTCTTCGTGGAGTATGGTTAAAGTCGAATAAAGTAACGTTTTACTGACAAAGTACTGTGTTTTGAAAATGCCAAATATAAAATCATCCATTCTTCGTGGAGATCAGTTAAAGTCCAATAAAGTAACGTTTTTAAGGCAAAGTAACGTGTTTTGAAAAGACTACACAAAAATTCATCCATTCTTCGTGGAGAAAAGTTAAAGTCCAATAAAGTAACGTTTTTAAGGCAAAGTACTGTGTTTTGAAAATGCCTGCATAAAAAGCCATCCATTCTTCGTGGAGTATGGTTAAAGTTGAATAAAGTAACGTTTTACTGACAAAGTACTGTGTTTTGAAAAGGCTACACAAAAAATCATCCATTCTTCGTGGAGAAAAGTTAAAGTCCAATAAAGTTTACGTTTTTAAGGCAAAGTACTGTGTTTTGAAAATGCCTGCATAAAAAGCCATCCATTCTTCGTGGAGTATGGTTAAAGTTGAATAAAGTAACGTTTTACTGACAAAGTACTGTGTTTTGAAAAGACTACACAAAAATTCATCCATTCTTCGTGGAGAAAAGTTAAAGTCCAATAAAGTAACGTTTTTAAGGCAAAGTACTGTGTTTTGAAAATGCCTGCATAAAAAGCCATCCATTCTTCATGGAGTATGGTTAAAGTTGAATAAAGTAACGTTTTACTGACAAAGTACTGTGTTTTGAAAATACCTAATATAAAATCATCCATTCTTCTTGGAGATCAGTTAAAGTCCGATTAAGTAACGTTTTTAAGGCAAAGTAATGTGTTTGAAAATGCTTACATAAAATTCATCCATTCTTCGTGGGGTATGGTTAAAATCGAATAAAGTAACGTTTTACTGTCAAAATACTGTGTTTTGAAATTGCCTACATATAAAAATCATCCATTCTTCGTGGAGATAAGTTTAAGTCGAATAAAGTAACGTTTTTAAGGCAAAGCACCGTGTTTTGAAAATGCTTACATAAAATTCATCCATTCTTCGTGGAGTATTGTTAAAGTCGAATAAAGTAACGTTTTACTGACAAAGTACTTTGTTTTGAAAATGGCCTACATAAAAAATCATCCATTCGTAGAGATCAGTTTAAGTCCAAAGTAACGTTTTTAAGGCAAAGTAACGTGTTTTAAGAATGCGTACATAAAAAGCATCCAATCTTATTAGAGAAAACTTAAAGTCTATTAAGGTAACGTTCTAAAGGCAAAGTAACGTGTTTTAGAAATGGCTACATAAAAAATCATCCATTGATAATGAACGAACGTTTTAAAGGCAAAGTAACGTGTTTTAAAATGCCTGCATAAAACATAATCTATTCTTCGTAAAGATAATGATTATATCACCAGGTTTCAACAGCCAAGGTAGCCAACGTTCCTTAATTACTTTTCATAATAACAAAACGAAATAAACAGTACTTTTAAAATGTCAATATTTTTTGTCCCTATATCGTGACATATATACCTTTAAAGAGTACCAATTGAAAAGTTGAGTTGACTTTGAAAATCACAATCTAAACTTCAAACCCCTTTCTTTAAAAGAAGCAAGGTTCAAGTTTGAGTAGATTGCCTTTACAGCAACATGTACCTTCTTTAGGTCTATCCACAGTGTACCAAAGCTTGAATCGGTCAGGCTGCTCAGCTGCAATCTCCTCAAGTTCTGCACGTAACAAGATGTCTTCCTCAGTCTACAACATTGAAGGGTAAAATATTTTTGCAAAAAATTATGAAATTTGAAACATACATATATCTAGGGATGTCAATTTTGTTGTGCCAGAACATATTTGAAATTTAAATTCCAATCATGAAAAATAAATAACCTAATTATAAAGCCAAAATTCAAAACAGAGAAACTGGTAGTGAACTTGAAATCATCTTTGGAGATACAGTGTATCTCTAAAGTATAGCGAATTTTGGCTTAAGGCAGCCATTTTGAATTTCCCAAGGCAGGAATCAGAAAAACAATACCATAATTGTGATGTGATCTTCTCCAAATGTAGTATAGTCATACTTTGAAGAGATTAGAAAATTATGGTAAAATCCTACATTCATGTAAGGTATAGCCATTTTGAATTTTACGAGGCCTGAAAATGAAAATGATACAATATTGGCACACTACTCTAAATTGCCTTTCATTTGAGTATAATAAAACTTTATTTCAGATATATCTCAAAATTAACAAAAAAAATCTGTTTTCCCGATCCCCATACATGGCACCTAGGGGTCAGGTTGACAAGTACTGAATATATGTGAAAGAGATAGATGTAGCCTTGCCCAAGTCAGTCTCTTTTACTTATCTTGATTTCTATTATGACCACATTGTACCAATGAGAAAACCACATGCTTTTCCGAACCAATGTTTATGTCGGTAAATTTGACCAATTAACGATGGCCCTGCAGTGTTAGCTCATTATCATGTACAGTCAAAACAAGTACACTTTGACCCTGCTTTTCACGAACAAATCTTGCACAATTCATTATGAAAATCAAATATCTTATCAGATAAATATCAATCAGCGTTTAGTGGATGTGGGAGCATCAATCGGATACCCAGAGGAGAATTTCAACAAGAAACATTGAAAAGATCGCTGAAATAATCTAACATGAGATTCAAATCAATCACTGAATCAGACGACTGACTATGGTACATGTAGGTCTTCATGCATTTTCATCATGAATTCAGTTTTAAATCAACATTAAATCGCATGATTAAATTTGTATTAATGACTGCTTACATTCCAATATACATTTAATTACAGAATATATTGTAACTCTGAAGAAATACTTAATCAGATCATTGAAAAGTCGTAGATGGGTAGTTTGCATTGTTTATGCAGGTAAACCTGATAACGTTTTGATTGGTCAATCAGCCTGAAGTCACAAGGCGTATCCACGCGAATATCTTGTCTACGGTTTCACATAGGAGTTATGGGAATCCTGAAACCGCAGAATAACTTATTATAATATCAGTGATGATGTATTAGATTGTACAAGGCGGTAATCATTCAAGATCAGATAAGTAAAGAAAAAAAATATTGACTAGGGCAAGGCTTAGGTCGATGTTGTGAACGTACTTCCAAAACTTCGAACAATAATATTGATTTATTTGGTTAGAGGCAATCATGAACTCAAGTATCAAGTAACGAAAGCCTTCACTTTTGTATTACACAGAGTTTTAATGCCATGTGGATTACAATAAACTAGATTACTTTTATTTTCAATGGAGCTTAACTGACCACATACATTTATATTTACTTGGTATTATTATCTGATTACAACTGGCAGCATTAACTCTGGAGTTGAGAAATTTTTCGTTCATATCTTTGAGTTGAATGACTTTGAATATTATTTTTCACTGGAGTCAAAGACAGGAGGAGGAGGAGTGTGAGGGATTTACAACTCCCCCACTTTCAGATCCCAATACCCAGTTATAAATGACTGACTCATCCGAGGTCCCAGTTTGTTACTCAGGTCCAAAGTCTCAGTTTGTTACTAAGGTCCCAAGTCCCAGTTTGTTACTCAGGTCCAAAGTTCCAGTTTGTTACTCAGGTCCCAAGTCCCAGTTTGTTACTCAGGTCCCAAGTCCCAGTTTGTTACTCAGGTCCCAAGTCCCAGTTTGTTACTCAGGTCCAAAGTCCCAGTTTGTTACTCAGGTCCCAAGTCCCAGTTTGTTACTCAGGTCCAAAGTCCCAGTTTGTTACTCAGGTCCCAAGTCCCAGTTTGTTACTAAGGTCCCAAGTCCCAGTTTGTTACTCAGGTCCAAAGTCCCAGTTTGTTACTCAGGTCCCAAGTCCCAGTTTGTTACTCAGGTCAAAAGTCCCAGTTTGTTACTCAGGTCCAAAGTCCCAGTTTGTTACTCAGGTCCCATGTCCCAGTTTGTTACTCAGGTCCCAAGTCCCAGTTTGTTACTCAGGTCCAAAGTCCTTGTTCGTTACTCAGGTCCAAAGTTCCAGTTTGTTACTCAGGTCCCAAGTCCCAGTTTGATACTCAGGTCCCAAGTCCCAGTTTGTTACTCAGGTCCCAAGTCCCAGTTTGTTACTGAGGTCCTAAGTCCCAGTTTGTTACTCAGGTCCCAAGTCCCGGTTTGTTACTCAGGTCCAAAGTCCCAGTTTGTTACTCAAGTCCCAAGTCCCAGTTTGTTACTCAGATCCCAAGTCCCAGTTTGTTACTCAGGTCCAAAGTCCTAGTTTGTTACTCAGGTCCAAAGTCCCAGTTTGTTACTCAGGTCCAAAGTCCCAGTTTGTTACTCAGATCCCAAGTCCCAGTTTGTTACTCAGGTCCAAAGTCCTAGTTTGTTACTCAGGTCCAAAGTCCCAGTTTGTTACTCAGGTCCAAAGTTCCAGTTTGTTACTCAGGTCCAAAGTCCCAGTTTGTTACTCAGGTCCAAAGTCCCAGTTTGTTACTCAGGTCCAAAGTCCCAGTTTGTTACTCAGGTCCAAAGTCCCAGTTTGTTACTCAGGTCCCATGTCCCAGTTTGTTACTCAGGTCCCAAGTCCCAATTTGTTACTCAGGTCCCAAGTCCCAGATTGTAAGAAAGCTATAAATAGCAGGACACAACCGTTGGAACTGAACTATATTGTTACCTTACGTATTAGCAACCCCTCACTATTTACCCATAATATGCATTGTGATGAAATATTTAAGCTGGTGGCATATAAATAGTATTGATTTTTAAAATTTAGGGCTGGACAAGGCAAGAATAAACTCGAGAGATTGAATTGAATGGAATTATTTTACATACAAGTCTCAGTTTAGAAAATTAACCAAAATCATGAGAGTCCCAAAAGCATTTTTAAGGAAAGTGATTCTTTGTGTAGTAATAATACAATTGATGTACATCTTGACATCAAAGCTTTCAACTAATGAAAAGAGTATTAAGTCAAAATCAAGCACAAAGTTGGAGAAAATAAGCCTGGACAATAAGAGAAGGGGAGATAAACCTCTAAACAGTATATACTTTTTGAAAACCCATAAAACGGGAAGTACTACACTGCAGAGTATCTTAATGAGGTATGGAGACACAAGAAATCTATCATTTGCATTTAAGGAAAAAAATCACGAATTAGGCTGGCCAAGAGTTTTCCACAAAAACATCCCTATAAAGCTAAAAGCTCCCCATTCGAGATATGATATCATCTGCCAACACCTCAGGCACAGTGATGATGTATTTGATGTGCTCAACCCAAAAGCGAAGGTAATTACAATATTAAGAAACCCAACATATAACTTTATCTCAACATTTAAATACTTTTATGAAAAGTGGACTAAGAGATGCTTTGGTACAATAAACATTGACGAATTTCTTTCGACTATGGAAAATTCAACAAGCAATATAACTGTATCAAATGAGTGTGTGAATAGACAGTTATATGATCTAGGAATGAGGCCAAATGACACTGTAAATGTTATCAAGGTTAAGAGAAAAATTTGGGAAATGGACATGACATTTGACCTTGTGATGATATCAGAATACTTCAATGAAGGTCTAATATTGTTAAAACACCTAATGAACTGGTCATTCGATGACATTGTATATATCAGTAAAAATGTCCAAACGAAGAAAACTAAGGGAATAGATGTAACATACCCTGAAGCATATAGGAAAATTAGAGAACTCAACATTGGTGATGAAATGCTATATCAGCACTACAACAAAACATTTTGGAATATGATCAACAATTTTGGGAGAGAGAGAATGAATAGAGAAGTATCCAAACTCAATCAAATAAGAGATAAGATGAAAACTTTCTGTATTGGCGAAGTGGTAAACGGAACAAACGAAAGGTTAAGCGAGCATAATAAACCAACTTGGATGGCCAACAAGGTAAATGCCTATATTCTATCAGAGGAAGGCAAGCATGATGCAACATGTAAACAATTGGTAGCAGGTGAAGATCAATATACAGATTTTTTGAGACAAAAAATGAAATCACTGGGATATATATGAAGGACAACAAATGGCAATGGTTACACATTCATCTATGTACTAGACACATCTGAAACATATATTCACAAGGTATAATGTTCTGGGGGTCATTAACAGAACTTTCGCAAAGTTACGAATTCGTAATTCGTAACTTTATGAAATTCGTAAATATTCAAAAAGATACGAATGACTTACGAATTGATTAAGTTATGAATTGGCCATTTACAGAACATTTTCGTAAATCATTCATAAGTTTTATCGTTCGTAAACAAATTTCAAATTGTGACATCATCTCATATCAATATTTAGCACAAATAAAAATACAGTATGATTTGATATCATAGCGCTGTGATTAAACCTGTCTCCGTGATTTCAAAGATTCCCAATTCAGGAACATATTTGCTTATCATGTAAGGATAGGTGGATATTTTAGCTTGAAACTTAGCATGCATATGAGGAACAATTTCTTTTTGCCAACCTGTATACATGTACCTTACACAAGAACTGGATGAGAAATATGCAATTGGCAAAGTTATGAAAGGGTCTGAGGTGCTATTAAAGTTACGAACGAAAGCATATGTGACAACATTTTTCTTAAAGGAGGGCGAGTTGTTTGTAGAATGAATCGGGGGATTTTTTGCATGAATTTCACTTATGTTTTTCATCCAAAAAACATCAATACACTTTAAAACATTTTGTTTACTTTAAGATTACACCATGTAATCCAAAAATATATTTCTCGTTTTCAAAGATAATCCATGGATTAACACCCAGGTATTTTTATTTTTCAATCTTCAGAGGGCTGGGAATCATTGATGCTCAACGCTTTTGAATATGATAAATGCTGTTTTAAATAGGTTTTACGTATGCCAATAATTTCTCAAATTATGTAAGTTGAATGCATTCCTTAATCCCTAGAATGCCTATCATAATAACATTCTTTTGTCTTGGCCACTTAATATGTTTTGTTGCTGTCTGATCATCAAATCAAATTGTTGTTATTTAAAGATGTCAGTCAAATCTGGTGAAACAGCACAACATTTACCTAAATAGCACGAGTACATATTATGTAACTCATTCATAATATTTCATGCATCAGGTATTAAGGCTTAGGGGATTAACTTTTACACATAAACTGAACTGACAGATGTGTACGCTTACATGTATAACTTCCAGGATTGTAAGAATTCAAAACTTGTTGATAGCCATATTTTCCTGAATGTGACATCGAGATATTATGGCATTTATGAGTGGTAAAACATGAAAAAAAGCATTTTCATTTAAAATTAGCATATGATTTGAATTGATGCCAAGAAATGTATTAGTTAACTGTATCCGTTTTACATCCATTGCAGTTGGCTACATTATAAGACAAGGCATTCACATGCAAAATGTCAATACCTGCCATTTGTTACAGACACCAACTGCCAAACACCAACTGCAAAATGATAAACACCAACCACTGAACACCGTCCACAAAAAAGTTTGAGACCATAACAATATGTCACCACTTGTGGTGGTGACATAAAAATGATCATGGAAAATTGTTTTTTTTTAAAAAGTAGGAACTTCTGAGGTTATTAGAAAATTGGAAGACAAGGAAGGATCCTGGGAAGGATATTAGTGTTATAAATTGCAATGAAACTAAAACAAAACATTCTTTTTCTCAAATATCACAGTGTATATTCAAATCACAAATACAATATCATACAATTACAATAAGGGTCTAGTGCACTTTCCATTATGATATCCCCATGAACAAAATGAATCATTTTTAGGTGTAACATAAAGAATACAATGTCACATAATACTGTGGAAAATATTTGAGCGTTTGGACCCACATGGGCTGAGGTTGAGGTCATTTACTGTAGTTCAGCAAGGGTGTATTGACTTGCCATTGAATGGGCTCCATTGACTTAACATGTGGATATCATCAATTCCAATAGAGGCCATTGGTTTCTAATGATTTTCACAAAAATACCTAAAATACACTATGACCTGAATCGATTGCAAATTAAATAATTTCACAGTATGACACAAATGGTATATCACATCAGATGTGCAAATATAAAGTTTGCAATCGATTCAGGTCATACTTCAAATTAAAAGATTATACATTTTTTCCATCATTTTTTCCTACAAAATGGCTATAGAAAAATGCTTCAAAAGCAACTTTTATACTAATGAAATCCCATACAACTTTCTAAATCCAAAGATTATATTGTTACGTTTCATTAATTAATAACATATTTGGATAATATGTTGGGATGTGTAGGATGCAAATGGATTTTGACAGACACAAAAGACTTCTTGGTTTGGCATCTCTACCCCTGTACACTTTATGATTGAATATTGGCCCTAATAAGTGGCCCATTCATCAATACAGTGCTCAATATAGGTCAACAAGATACTAGTGTACATATAAATGTAATAATACCTATAGCCACTGGCATGTAGCGATTATAGCGGTCCTGTCTTGGCTTATTGAATTGTTACGAAGTTACGTATGCGGTGCGGAAGTTAGAGAGCAAATGACCATCATTTCAATGTAATAGTTTATGCAGGAAAATTGAGATTAGGCCATTGGAGTATTTGTTTCATGCATTTGTAAAACGTTGCCCACTCATAGGTCATACTTATCGTTAAACCAATAACTCAAATATATGCCCTTGTACACCGATCACCTGTTGAAATTAATACAGGCCGATTTCAACAAATGTAAACGGCGATATATTTAAAATCGTATTCAAGCATGACCACGTCCCAACTTCTTTTGTTTTCTTTACAACTAAGCTATGACTGCAGTCTATTCAGTGTTGCGTATCGAACCTTGTTTATTATAAAAATAGTGCAACAACAAGCAGAATTCACACATTTACCTTATACTTATTCTCAACTGAAGACATTGAATTTATCTCTTAGGTTTTACATTATAAATATCTTAACATGCAGAATACGAAAATAGAAGCTTAGGCCCAACTTTGTATGAATTTTATGAGAATAATCTGATTTTAGAGAAATGAAAAGAAAAATGTCCACACCCTACACAAAATATTTATGGTTCCCCGGGAATACGTATGTGCTGCTTGTATATTAGAATCGTATTCCAGTTACAGAAAGAAGTACATTAAACTATATACAACAGTTATGCACTTGGAGGTTTTGGATAAAATAACCATAACCCCTATATATTGGCCAAGGGATAATCCCAATATCCTGACTATAGGATATGTTTATCCCATACCAATCTTGGTCATCTGGTTCACATTGTTAAATCGTGGAAATATTTTAGAATATTCATGTCCAGTTTTGTTTTCTTGGCCGTGGGCGGATTTTCATGTTCTCTCAAATATTCCCATATTTATTTTCTCGAATTTTTTATTGATAAAGTGGATGCTCTTTCCCTTTTTTTAACTACAGACCCTGATTGTCTGTGTTTTCTCCATTGCCGTTTACAGTCATTCCGCGAACGTTACAAATTATGAACAAATATGCAAGCGGCGATTATGACGTAGCGGGCAGATATACTATATCTACCCGCTTGGAGCGGGACGTAAAGCTTTTTATCCCATACTTGGACGTGTTACAGGTACATAAAGCCGGTTTGTAAAAACTATATTTTCATCAGCGGGCAGATATAGCTATACGTCCCGCTCCGAGCGGGCAGATATAGTATATCTGCCCGCTACGTCATAATCGCCGCTCGCATATTTGTTCATAATTTGGAACGTTCGTGTAATGACTGTACACGACAATGGAGAAAACACAGACAATCGGGATCTGTTTGATGGTTTAAAAAAGGGAAGGAGCATCCACTTAATCAATCAAAAATTCGAGAAAATAAATGTGGGAATATTTGAGGGAACAGGAAAACCCGCCCACGGCCAAGAAAACAAAACTGGGCATGAATATTCTAAAATATTTCCACGATTGAACAATGTGAACCAGATGACCAAGATTGGTATGGGATAAACATATTATCCTATAGTCGGTTCAGGATATTGGGATAATCCCTTGGCCAATATAATATATTTTCCCTCGGGACCTGCGGCCCTCGGGCAAATATATTATATTGGCCTCGGGATAATCCCAATATCCTGAACCTCATATAGGATAATCTCTATATCCCATGGTTGCAAGGAGGATATAGTTCGAATATCACATGATGATATATTTGATATGTGGATCAAGATATCATATTTTAGCAAACAATTTACAAACCATCGAATATCACTTTTAAACTATCGAATATCACATCTTAAATAGAGGATATCCAGTGATTTATGAGTGATATGATTTTTATCCACGAATGGATATGATATCTGCACGAGTGAGCGTAGCGAGAGAGTGCAGATATCAACATCCATGAGTGGATTAAAATCATATCACGAGTAAATCATAGGATGTTCTTTATATTCCATAGTTAAAGTCATCATCAGAATCTTCGGGAATTAAGTGATTTAAAACGAATTTTCCAAACGATACGGCGATATTGACACTTAGCCTCGTTTTGAGTCTGAAGTAGCAAAAATCCATAAAACATGGCATACGGCGCCGCATGTCATGGCTAAAACACCGTATGCTATGGTTAAGTGAAAATTTGCCAAAAATATCATATTTCACCACTGATTTTAAAAAATACCGTTTTTATTTTGACATGTTATCCTATGGATATCATGCTAACTATGGAATAATATAGGAATATCCTATGGCTCTGAAAAAATATCACTTATATCCATGAGTGGATATTGATATCTTCGCGAGTGAGCGCAGCGAATGAGTGAAGATACTGATATCCATGAGTGGATATAAGTGATATTTTTGAAAAACTATAGGATTGTCCGTTTATCCCATTGGGAATTATTATCCAGCGAACATTGAATAGTCAGATAAATTGCAATGGAAATTCCATTTCGTCTGACATTTTGATTGCGATAATTCAACGAACGTCATATACGTGACGTAACAGAGTGGTTTGTATTTAATGCGAACGCCGTAAAAACAAGATCCCAAAAAATAAAAATATATAATAAATATATAATTCAATTCAATTCAATTCAATTTATTTCATAATTCTTATATAATATACACTATAAAAACAAGCCGCTAGACACCCTAGTGGGTATATGTTGCGGTCTAACAGAAATCATTAAAATGACATCTAGACTACATATAAAAGAAAATACTTATATTATGTTACATGTAGGTATATAAAAATGGTATTAACAATTAATCTAAGGATGTACAATGTAAAAATGTTACAAAAATCAGGTATCAGTATAAAATCAACAGTATAGTATGATATTGGTATTATACATTATCGATAGATGAGTAGTTTTTTATATGAAGATTTGAAAATATTTAGAGTGGAGCATTTTTTAATATCATGGGGTAGAGCATTCCAAAGATTAGGACCTAGATAGCGAAGGGAAAGTTTAGAGCATTTAGGGATATGAAAATAATGCAATTGTCTTGTGTAATGATGATGAATATTAATGTTGATATCAAACAAGTCTTGAAATAGATTTTTGGAAGACTGGGGTGCTTATTAAAGATTTTGTACATGAACTGACCAGTACAATATCTGTTAACATCAAA